ATAAATAGATGTTAAAAATTCACAGATGTTTCCTCTGTGAAAACCTACTTTTGAAAATGCAGAACCCAGAAATAATTTAGTGAGTAGAGACAGCAATGTTCCTTATTTCAAATGTGTTATTTGGAGCAAGATAAAATTTTTCTACGTACCTTTTAAACTAAAGTTTTGTTAAAACATTCCAGAGAAAACTTTACAGCTCAATTTAACTAACTTATGGGCTTATTTCTGGTCTTTTCCCTTAAAATTGCAGAGACTTTTAATCTGAGTTTCCCTCTGTGTCCCCCATCACGCCCCACACTCCTCAGAGATTAAGCTCTCAAGGCTTTAGTCACAGAGCTGCTAATAATCTCTTGTGCTGGCATTTTGTACAATCTATTGTACCAGGATGATAGGATGTCTGGTTTACTCACTTATAAACTCTAGATAATGATAAGGGCATCTTTCTGCCTGCCACGGGCATAACAAAGCTAAAATACCAGTCAACTGGCCAGATTCGTAACTGAGGAAGAGCAGGAGTGAGTTTCAAATCTCTCCTTTGACAACAGAGTTATCAGTTTGAAGATACAATCAAAGCTCCTAGCCATAGCACTTTAACCAGATGAACTGAATCCTACAAAGATAAAGCAGTCAGGCAAGACATCAAAATATAAACAAACCTCATTAACTGTGGCTTAGGTGTGCAACTTACAAAAACCTCGTGAGTTTTTGTTGTTTTTTTTTTTTACCTTTGGGATAATAAAGTTTTGAGGATACAAATATAACCATGCTTGAAAAACTGAGAAAATGTACACATTAAGTATATATATAGTGATAGTTGATATAATTAATAAATACAATGAGAAAAAGATCATCACAGCTTGGTTCCGGATATGAGTGGATATGTGTATTCTGCTGCCCTCTACTGGGCATCAAAGAATGATTTTCGGTTCCATCTCCGTTAAAAATCTTTTCACAATGGAAATTAATTACTTGGTGAAGTTCTAAGAACCAAACATAAAATACAGTTCCTAAAAAAAAAAAATAGTTAACAAAATACAGATAAAATACCACAGACAATAAACCCCAAGGGTTTGATGGGTTTTTTCCCCTAAATTGTTCCCACTTTACATTTTAGACCAAGATGATCAAAAATCTGGCTGAGCTTTTACTGAGAATTATTTTTATCCTTTAAAAAAAATTTTTAATGTTTATTTTTGAGAGAGAGAGAGAGAGAATAAGCGCATGAGCAGGGGAGGGGCAGAGAGAGAAGGAGACACAGAATCTGAAGCAGACTTGAGGCTCCGAGCTGTCAGCACAGATTCTGATGTGGGGTTCAGACCTATGAACTGCGAGATCATGCCGTGAGCTGAAGTTGGCCGCTTCACCAATTTAGCCACCCAGGCACCCCAGAATTATTTTTATCGTAAAGACTGAGAGTTTCATTCTGAATTGAAACAAATCGGATTAATCAGTTTTATCAGTATTAGTTACACAGATATAAAATGTTTTGAATAGTTAAAATTTCATCTCAAGATTTGCTAATGTCACACTGTATGTTTCTGGTAAGTTATCTAACTTTATTCCATGAAATAATTTTTTTGTTTCACCTAATCCTAATACTAACTCTTGCTTTTAGGTAAGTACTATTAATATTTCCTATTCAACATATACAGAAATCTTGGCAAAAAGAAATTTTCTGAAGACTCATACCAGAAAAAGCAAGTGGCGATTTGAACTCAGGCAAATTCATTACAGAAGTCATGCTCTTGTGACTATGTTAAAGGGTATACATGTAAAATGGTGATGATGGACATTACAATGCAAAATGTCATCGCAGGAAAAAAATCACTCACCTATTCATTTGTGAAAGTCAGTACACCATGGTTAATTTCAAATTTGTCAAAGGCAGAAATATGTTAGGACATAACATGTACCATGATAAATCACAGAAGTATTTCATCTTGACATATCAATTTTAAAAGTAGGGATACTAAAAGTAAATATGGTTTATATTCCACAGGTTATGTTCTCAGAATTCTCCCTGCTTTTCTAACTCCCCAGCTTTTGCTCATTTCCATTATCTTGACATGACTTGGTTAGGTTAATGCCTCCTCGCCTTTCAAATGTGTTTATAATCTTTGCTGCAGGGAAGTTTTCACTACTTTCACATCTGTTTTATGAGCTTGTGCAGAAAATAACAAAATAATATTTTATATGGCAGTATTAAGACTGGCTGGCTTAAACAATAGAAATTAATTTTCTCACAACTACAGGCTGGAAATTCAAGATCAAGATGGGCTACCTTCCTGGCTTGTTGACAGTGGCCTTATCAGTATGTGTTCACGGGACCTTTCCTGCATGCCTGTACAGAGAAAGAGAGAGATTCTCCTCTTTCTTTTCTCATAAGGCCACCAGTCCCATAGGATTCATTACCACCCATAAGCCCTGTCTCCAAATACTGCCACATGGGGGTTGGAGCTTCCACATATGAACTTGGGAGAGACATAGCATCATCCTATACATTTCTATAGCACTTCTCCTTTCTTAGGACGAATGTATTAGAATCACCTGTTTACTTACCTACATCTCATTACACACAAGTAACTGCAGGCTAGACAATGCAACTATTCTGCCACTATATCCTTGGCCACATGGTGAGTGGTGGCTAAATGAATTAATAGGTAACACTAACTACCTATTCTGCTCCTTTAGCATGTCTTAGAAAATGCCATAATCACCTAGGAGTTAAGCCTAAACAGATACCTAGGGTTTTGCTGGAGATTGAATATCCAAACAAGCCTCATGCTATGGCTAGAATAAAAAAGTCAAGAAATAAAAGGTGTTGGCAAAATGTGGAGAAAAAAGGTACCCTACTGGTGGTAGGAATGTATATTGGTGCAACCATTGTACAAACTAGTATGGAGATTCCTCAAAAAATTAAAAATAGAAATACCATATGACCCAGAAATTCCACTATTGGGTATTCACCCAAAGAATAAAACAACACTAATTCAAAAAGATGTACACACCCCTATGCTTACTGCAACATTATTTATAGTAGCCAAATTATGGAAGCAGCCCAAATGTCCATAGATGAATGGATAAAGAAAATGTGGTACACATATATACAATGGAATATTACCCAGCCATAAAAAAAAATGAAATCTTGCCATTTGCAACAATATGGACAGACCTAGACGATATTACACTGAGTAAAATAAGTCTGAGAAAGACAAATAATACATATAATTTCACTTATATGAAGAATCTAAAAAACAAAATGAACAAACAGAAAGCAGAAACACCCCCATAAATATAAAGAACAAACTGATAGTTGCCAGAGGGGAGATGAATGGCAAGACAGGAAAAATAGGTGAAGGGGAGTGGGAGATACAGGCTTCCAGTTATGGAATGACTAAGTCACAGGGATCAATGGCACAGCACAAGGAATACAGTCAATGGCACTGTAATAGCGTCGTATGGTGACAGATGGGAGCTACACTTGTGCTGAGCACAGCATAACGTATACACTTGTTGAATCACTACGTCGCACACGTGAAACTAATGTAGCAGTGGGTCAACTATAGTTCAATTTAAAAAAAACCAAGAATGACAAAAAATTCTTGTGCGCTAACTCTGCTACTGAATGTTATGACTTGAGTCTCCCCCAACGTCCTCATCAAAGTGGCAGGATGACATGTCAGTTAAACTAAATGCTGATCAACAGTCACTCCAGGAAGCAGGTGCTGCACCCATTTGTGTGCATAGTATACCAAATGAATTTCTAAGTTCTTATTTCAGATGATTGAGCTTTTCAAGAATAGGGTAAATAATTCAATAAAGTATAACCATTGAAAACAATGACCATGTGATACGGATACTACACTCAACAATCAGGTAAAATTATGTATTTTAAAAAAATAAAACACTGCAATCAGGCCTGTACAACACTTTATTGAACTTTGAATAACAAGCATGTAACAAAATTTAGAGCATGATTAGGATAAAATATCTCAAATATGTTCCTTACAAAGGCAGTAAGTACAGTACACAAAGACTAATGTTTTAAAGTCTGCTAAAAATATCAAGACATACTAGAATCTGTGGAGTTGCCTTTCCTCTCAACTAGAGCATTTATTCCCATTAGCTTTGCTACAATGAAAGTTAACATATAGGACCATACACATGTAATAAATGAAATGGAAAATGAAGGCATCCAACAAACATTCCAATTGCTAAGCAAGTATGAAGAATAAAGTCTTTTATTTCTGAACCATCATTTCCTTTGACAACACCAGGTATAATGAAACTGTTTTCCAAAATGTTTTTAATGTTATATAATTTGGACCATTCCCATTGGAACCAATAGTCTTTCTTAGCATACTCATTAATCAAATTTGAGAATTTGCAAATGTACTTAAGAAACACGTTACTCTCATACAGAGGTGACATTCAAAACACTAAACAACCAGCAGCCCGTTGTCCCTACCCACCAAGCACAGATGCTGGAGTAAATGACTGGCATGGCAATACAGTCTGTCCTAGCTGAATATCAGCCCTGATGTTATTTCCAATGACCAGACACATGTTTTGGCTAATGTACAAGCATGTGCTATGAGATATGAAACATGAAATTCACACAGACATGAAACTGAACTCAAATACTCTGCTGCATGGAGGCTGAATGTGAAATATTTCACAGTGACTGAAAATGACTGGCTAACAGGCAATGGTGTTGGTTTTTTTTTATATATATAATTCAACTTTGATTAAAATAAATGGACTTATAAGACACCCTTGAGATTTAGTTAATGCTACTAATCCAAAGGCTCTGAATTACTGAGGAGCCTTTAAAATCAGTATATGTGACCTTTCATATATTTTTCCTTAAGAAAAAGTAATAATAAAAACACCGAGGTACTTTAGTTTCTTTTCAAGGGATTATGTTATTATCTTCCTGAGATGCAAAAGACCATAAAAGAAAAGCACCACGCCTAGGTTGCTGAATGAGGCATCAGACACTAATAGTTTGGTCCTTTTCTAAATGGATCTCTTCCAACAATTACACTAAAACATAGCGATGGATCGCAGATTCCAGGGGGGCCTGGTTGTCCTTGGATTCCAGGTTTTCCATGATCTCCATCTTTGCCTGGGAGACCTGGGTCTCCTGGAGGACCTTCTTTGCTTATTCCAGGAGGACCCTCTGGACCTAAGAAGGGACATGATCAATATATGAACAGAGGAGTTTTGGTTTTTGATGATGATATAGGTGATTCTGTAAGAAATGGAAATGGGAAAAAAAACAAATCCTAAAAGTTTTACATATTTGCACTAATGTGAAAAGAGAAGTACTCTCTTGCTAATTCTATATACCTTCCATTTAGAAGACTATGGAGAAATGATCAGTAATTTTTATAAAACCAGGCTAAGCTATATCAATATAGCAATCACCCTGCTGATTAAGACACTGAGCTAACATTCTAATATTTTAATTGGTGGGTTGTCCAAACTTATTTCTTCCTTCCAGCATATATTCTGCCAATTATTATAAATTAGCAAGTGAGAGATGAGTAAGCTAAAACTCTACAACTCTACTGAAGTCACTTTTGTGCCATTTTTGCAGTAAAATGATTTTTCATTACACACGTTTTTAGGTTTCCATATTTAAATACAGTGCTATTACCATGGCGTAATTGTGATCATTATACACACAAAGGTGTTACAGCACTAATTTGAGAACCACAGCCTAATTAGCTCAATTAGCATGCTCAAAGGAAGGAGAGTTAACAGGATATTATGTGAAAGGTGATGACTCAAAGTAACAAAAAACATTCAGGGTGTGAAATGGAGCAGCATAGGTTGAGGCACTCTCTACTACTAATTCCTGCTGCTACCACTAAGAGACATTTAGTCTGCATTTAACTACAACTGTAGATACTGTTCCAAGCATTTTACATGAAGACTTTTGAATCCTTTCATCCCCGCAAAAGCCTCACAATGTTCTAACATCTAAAATAACAGTAATAGCACCCATTTACTGAAAACATGATTGTTACACACTGTTCCAAAAGCACATGTATTAATTCATATCATTTTACAATAATGTCATGATGCAGGCAACATCTCATCACCATTTCACCAATGAGGAAATGGAGGCCTGATGAAGTTAAAATAACACAGCTAGCCAAGGCTGCCCTACGAGTCCACCACTGCAGGTGTTCTGCTTCCCTGAGAATCATAAAGAGCGAACACTGATATACACTAGATAAGCTTGGGTGACTAAAACCATTCCAGAACTATTCTAAGGACTAGTCTTCTAAGGCATCCAAATGATAAACAAGAGAAAATCCGGAATGATTGATCAATAAGCTGAAGGAAGAAAATTCTAGTAGTTAGAGCTCAATATGTTCAATGTGAATCATTCAAAAAAGGAAACAAATGTCTTGATTTCAAATTTTTTGACATAGATTTATGCAGATTTTCTTAAAGCCAAATGTGCAGCAACACTTAGGAGCATGTACCAGTTCTTACCTGGGGGACCAGGAGGACCTTGTTCTCCAGGGTACCCAAACCCTTGGTTCCCCTTTGCCCCGTTTCTTCCTGGTAGGCCTGCAGAGTGTCAAAGATGGGAATAAGCTTACTTTTCCTATAAAATCACATCCTGCTAGATTGCTTCTTTCAAAGCTGTTAATATACACATTGGAAGAAAAATAAATTTTGGGGCGCCTGAGTAGCTCAGTTGAGCATCCGACTCCTGATTTCAGCACAGGTTAAGATCTCAAGGTTTATGGGTTCAAGCCCCACCTCTGGCTCTGCACTGATGCGTGGAGACTTCTTGGGATTCTCTCTCTCTCAAAATAAATACAAACTTAATTTTTTTTAACAAAAAAAGAAAAATCTTTTTAAAAAAAGCTTGCCACTTATTTATTATTACTAATGGGAAACAGAATTTTTGAAGCAAAAATTTCTAAAATTATCAGTGATCTAGAAGGATCTAATATTGAAATATTGAAAAGGAAAATGGTTTGGGATTATTAACCCTTGTGTTTTTCATAGTTGTTTATTACAACTATTGAACATCTCAATTGTTCACATAATACTAAATAAAAAGGAAAGAATTATCAACTGACATTTCACATAAACATTCAAAGACAATGATAAGTAAGTTGTGGGCTATTAAGAAGTTTGGTGGCAAAATATAATTTTTCCTATAATAGAAAAATTCTTAAGGTAACAGAAGTTACTGGAGTCAAAATAAAGGAAAGTGTGATTTTCTATTTAAAGACCTTCTTATCAAAGACTCAGGCAAAATCTCTAAGTGCACTATCAATAATTTCTAATTTGTAACTTCACAAGCTTCAAACTTTAATTTTTCTCTACTTTAGAATATTGCTTTAAGAAAACAGAATTGCTTTTTAACTAGTTGAAAAATTATTTTATTTTTTTATTTTTTAGAGATAGAGAACAAGCAGGGGAGAGGGGCAGAGGGAGGGGAAGGGAGAGAAAAAGAGACGGAGAGAAAAAGAGACAGAGAGAGAGAGAAAGAGAGAGAGAGAGAAAGAGGGGGGAGAGAATCTTAAGCAAGACCCATGCTCAGCATGGAGCCTGATGTGGGGTCAATCCCACAACCCTGGGACCATGACCTGAGACAAAAATCAAGAGTCAGACACTCAACTGACTGAGCCACCCAGGCACCCTGACAAATTATTTAAAGACTCAGGGATACAAAAAGCTTTTTGGCATCATAAAACCAAAGATGAACCCTTGCCTTAAATCAATTTAGAAAGTGAATACAAAATATGTACAGAAGTTCAGCACCTTTTAATCCTCTGGCACCTGGACGTCCAGGAGCACCCACTAATCCAGGAACACCATCTCTTCCTGGCAAACCAGGAAATCCTCGAGGACCTTCTGGGCCTATGGGACCCGGTGGCCCAGGAATACCAGGAGAACCATGTTGAGACTGGCAATGATCACAACTTTGAATTCTTCCACTCTGAAGTAAGACTGGTAGCTGAGCTTAAAAACAAAGAAGCCCCACCCCTTAAGTTTAAATAGGCATTGGTAAAATCACTAACCATTTTTTTCACAATTTATAGATGCCCATCTCTTGACCAATAACTTCACTTCTAGGAATTTAACTGTGGAAATACTCTGTTCTATGCAATCATTTTATTATTACAATCACTTAAAATGGGGGAGTGAAAGCACCCCCCCAAAAAAATAGTGTAAATTATAGACATCCATATTTATGAATTACATTATCAGAATTATGTCAGAAAATTTAATTCATGGTGAAATAACGATAAATTGTTTTATTAAAAATATTATAAAAGAGTACATATTATTTTCATTTTTAAAAAATTACTCATCTAGGGAAAAAAACAGGAGTTTATAAATTTCCTTTATTTTCTTCTAATCTTACTTATATATTTTATAATTTCTACCAATAATTAGTATTATTTTACCAATTTTAAAAAAGTTATTAAAATCTCTGTTTGAGACTTACCTCTTAATACATCGGTGCAAACCTGTCGAATAAACTGTTCTGAAAATTCTCTTCCCTGCATCAAATTATTAGTGGGTTATAACATGTACATACCAAGTAAAAAGCAATGAAAACATGAGAAATTGGAAAGAAGCAGAATACATACAGGCTTTCCATCCAATCCTGGAGGTCCTTGAGGACCTGTTTCGCCTGGCTGCCCCTGGGGACCCATAGGCCCCATCAGGCCGTCCACCCCAGACTCTCCTTTTGGTCCAGTGGCACCTCTGATGCCAGGCTCTCCCTTTTCACCTCTCTAAAATCAGAAGAAATCTTCAAAAGTTCTGTTTCAATATTTCAGAAGGTATAACTGCATCATAAAAGTCCTTAAGGATATGAATATGAACATATACATACATATATATAAAGTACATTATGTAGAGAACAGCTGTGAAATGCTGTTATTGATCAGAGGGGAATTTTCATATCATATTAAACTGCCATTTACCCATCCATCCACCCATCCATCCAACCCCACAAATCTCCTCAATTTATTCAACATATTGTGTAGGTGATACATGTAGCACTAGAGAAACAACAAACGTGCCACAGTCTTGTTCTCAAAGAGATTACATTCTAGAGAGACAAATACAGAAACACAATATTCTTTGCACAAAAACACTTAGCTCCTAATACAGATGAAGAACCAATAATATTCACAAATATGCAACATTTCACACCTAATTCAACAAATCTACATATTCTGAAAATCACTATTAAGGAACTACTGAAGAATGTGAAAGGCATTTTCTGCCAAAGCTAGATTTATTCAGCACTGAAAACTGAAGCAGTATGGACTGAAGAGAGAGTATAATACATGAAGAAACATACCTCGCCTTTTGCACCATGATGACCTTGAATTCCCTTTGAAAATTAATAGGAGAAAAAAAACATAATAAATCTGCAAGGTACAGTACTATTAGCATGGTGTGCACCTGTTACCACACATTTAATCAAACTTTACTTTTCAATCTGAAAAGTACTGATACAATTAGTGAAAGAATTACACATGATGCTCTCTCTGCCTTTTTAAAGGAGGCTAATGACTAGGTGATATGCTAACTGGATAATATAAAATTGTTAATTTATGTCACTGTTTCATTCTTAGATATGAATATTTTTATATGCTGCAGGTCAAATATGTAGGTTAGAATGGGATTCTATGTGAATTCCATTTCAGTTCTATTCTGGATTTTAAATATGTTGCTATTTTAATGTAAATTAAACTCAATCAGGTAATATAAGGTATGTTTATTCTTTTATTTGGTGATTAAGTATTCCATTTTCCCAAGTTTATGTTCTTAAAATTAAATTTCAATTGAGTACTATTTATAAAAGATGGAATAAAGCAAAGATGCCATTAAAGACGATTAACAGGGAAGAAAATACCCATTTGTCCTATGCCTAAACCACTCACTGCTGGCAATTCAGAGATTATAAAAGCAGTGTGATGTATAATATGGTATTCTTCCCAAGTGATATTATACACACTGGGGAGCTCACGCATGAAACTCATTCACCGTTACAATCACTGAATACATCTGGATGGTTCTATTAAATGATTTCCCACTCATCTCTCACATATTCATTACAGTGGCAAATTATAGATGATAAGAGCTGAATTTCAGGAAAGGCATGAAAATTTCCCATTTTTCAAATTCATTGTACACTTGGGCTCCAAAATCACCTGATATCAGTTCTGGGAAAGGGTAGAGCTTGCACACACACAGGTAGGATTTCATTATTCAAGTTTCAAATTAAAAGTCAGAGTTCTGCAATTCAATATAAAATTTAGCATATGACATTTCACACAATGAAACTTGAATTTGCATATTTATTTTGCTTTATTTCTAGGTCCCTTCAACATGGATACCCAGATTGGAGAAAAGGGAAGACAAATGGGGTAAAATCAGAGTATGGCACAGAAAGAGGCATACTCTCAAATTAAAACAAGAGCATAAAAACACTAAGTTTCCATGTAAAAATATATTAGTGAGTAAAACACTTCAAGATTGTTCTTTAAATATTGAAGTTTCTGCAGAAATGCTGAGGTGTTCCCTCCCAGACATAACCCTACAACTGGAGCTTGTGTAGGAGGAAACACAGAATAGGAAGTTCTCAGGACTAGAACTGAGTTAGAGCTGCGACTGAAAACACCGGTTATCTGAGAATCCACTGGGATGGTTTCATGAGAGGAACCCATCATGAAGGCCAAGAAATCGCACACTTGCAGCCCTTTGTAGGATGACAGGTAACTAATAATGTTTACTTAAACAACTTGGGACAGCTATTCAGCTGCTGAGAAGCAACAGTTGCTTTGACCCCCAGGTACTCCATTAGGGCTCAGTTACCGGTGGTGAGAACACCAGCATCCAACAAATCTTGGGCAGAAGTTTTCTAGGAAGCCCAAACCCTGCCCTAGGGTGGCCGACCACTATTTCCCTTGAGAAGTGAGGGGAAAAAAACCAAACATGTTTAGGGAAGTGTGAAGAGAGTGTTATCTGTAAGCCAGTGAGCTAGCTAAGTTGTGAGCTCAGATTCCACAGGAAATAGCCTTCTTCTCAAAAAGTTCCTGTAAGAATTTTTGGTGAAGGGCCTGGGTTGTGGAGGTTGAATGGACGAGGAAGTTAAGGTTGTCCTATGAGAAGAGCGGTTTATAGATACTGTGTGATTGACTTAGAGAAACCTAGGGGGTCAGTCTGTGCTGCCAGGGAGGAGAATGGGGTCAATGCTGGTCATGTCATCAAGTGGATCTAAGTGGAGGAGCAATAAAATTAAAAGACACATTTTACTGAGCATAGACGTAGACAGACAAACTTCGTCTTTCTCCTCTTTTGCTCTTGCTGTTGGCTTCTAAATTCTCAACTCTTTTGAATATCTAGCACTCACCTTCCATCCTATCTTACAGACAACCCTGTGACCACATGCTTTTACACCTCTCTCCAATGGTCTCCGATATCTCCAGGCGAGGGACATAGAGACCCCTGTCCTTGAAGACATCACTCACAGTTTTATCCGCCTATCTCCAGAACCAGTGTAATTACTGAATCTGTCTTGAATGTCACATTCAAAAGAGGTCTATCCCATGAGGGGATCATATGTACACTCTGTCCTTTCAGTGTGGACCAAGTTGGATCTGAGCTTAACTACTGGCAGTGCAGCAGCAAACAAGCTACTATTACATACAAATCACTTTTATGCCACTTTTGGTCCAATTTGGCTGTGACTGTACTTACATGCCACATGGCAATCTCACTGAAGATAACATTTGAAAAAGTCTCTAGTGTAGGGAATTGTATCTCTGAACACACAAGAGGGAAACAAGAATATTCTTCCACTACTTATAGGCTTCAACTACCCCCATTTCAAGAAAAAAATAAAGAGTGAATAGTATATATGGAGATACTGTCATTGTATGGCTGCCTTTGGCCAATAACTATTGCAGCAAGTAAGTGGAATTATCTACCTTTAGCCATTTACTTGAAGAGAAAAAAGCATGGAGAAGCAAGTTTCATAGTCACCAATCAGTATAGGAAAATGAAAACATAAAACATATGATTAAAGCAAACCATTATCACCACCACCATCTGGCATTTTCTTCCTCAGATGCTTAGAATGAGCACTACCATCTATCTACCCTTCTCCCCACTCGTTTCCATTTGCAAATAATCCTCTCCCAACACCATCCAGTTATGTGGTTCATTATTCCATTGTCCATCAAAGAAAACAAAAATACCTGTGACCCTGGAATCCCTTGTCTTCCATTTTCTCCCTTTTGACCCTTTAAAATTTAATAAACATCATTGATTAGCTTGCACACATATAATGCAATCTCATATACGACACAAACTATGTATAACACTGGTGTCAAGAAGAAAGGTCACAAAAAGCAGTGATGCAAATATGCAAAATGATGTAAGAGATAAAGAAGTTAGTCTCTTGGAGGAAGAAAAAAAGAGAGTCAACCCTAATATTAACAACGTGAAAAATAATTTAAAAACCCAATGGTTATGGATATGTTATTAATTTCAATGACATAATTATGTTTAGTGTTGATTATGTACATGCAAGGACAAGAAGACATCTTTAAAGGAGTTTTTAAAGATGAAAAATATATTACAAACGTGGAATACTACTCATACATCAAAAAATAAAAGGAATCTTGCCTTTTGTAACAACATGGATGGGACTTAAGGGCATTAAGCTAAGTGAAATGAGTCGGACAGAGAAAGACAAATACTGTATGATTTCACTTACATGCGGAGTGTAACAAAACAAAACAACCAAACAAGACAAAACAAAAAACTCAAGCTCACAGATACGCAGAACAGAATAATGTTTGCCAGGAGGGAGGGGAGGGTGAGATAGGTGAAAGAGGTCAAAAGATACAAACTTCCTGCTATAAAACAAAAGTCATGGGGATGCGTGTACAGCATGGTTACTGTAGTTGATAATGCCATAATGTGTATGTGAAAGTTGCTAAGAGTAATTCTTAAAAATTCTCATCAAAAGAAGAAAAAATGTTGTCACTATGTATGGTGATAGATGGTAACTAGACACGTGATGATGATCATTTCACAGTGTATACAAATTTGAATCATTATGTTGTACACCTGCAATACAGCTGACCCTTGAACGATGGTAGGGTGACGGGCACCACCTCCCTCAAAGTCAAAAATCTGTGGATAACTTTTGACTCCCCCCAAATTTAACTACTAATAGCCCACTGTCGACCAGAAGCCTTACCAATCATATAAATTAACATATATTTTGTATATGTATTATAGTCCATATTCTTACAAGTTAGAGAAAAGGGAATGTTAAAATCATAAGGAAGAGAAATACATTTACAATACTGTATTTATCGAAAAAAATCTGCATGTAAGTGGAACTGAGGAGCTCAAACCTGCATTGTTCAAGGGTCAACTATATACTGTTATATGTCAATTATACTTCAATTTAAAAAATACTGCAAAAATATTTGGAATGAAGATCTTTAAATCAGGACAAATAAGAAGAGAGGAAAATTAACAAAGGTATAAACACATTTGTCCATTTAAAACATACTTGTGGATATCCATCATATATAATGCATGGTACTAACCCCTAAAGTACTACCTCATCCCCATGTGGGATGAGATAATTAGCAGTTTCTGGGAAAACATATACCCAGATAATAAAACAGTGACTTATCTAGTTACCTAAATTTTCAATCACTCTAGCACTGTTGATTTATTCATTTATTTACTTAAGTGAATTCCCAATATTTATTGAATGATACCTATTTGCTGGTTCGTAGGGGCACTGAAACAAAAACTGGTATCATCAAGTTGCTTACTGTGTGGTGGTAAAGTTAAGTCATTAAATCAAGAATGATGAAAATGCATAATTAAGCCTCTGAGCTGGATACTATGGGGACAGAGGAGGGGGCATCTGAGAGAGGTGCATCCTACAGGGTGGGGAAAACTACTCAACCTTAAGTGTAGGCTTTAGGGATAAGTAAAAGAGAGCCAAAATAGTCAAGTCAGGAAGCACTTCATGGAACAGACTTTATCTTGAAATGTGTGGGGCACCACAGAAGGATTCCTAAGCGGATGTGTAGCTTAGTTATTGCACGCTGGTAGGAGCATGAGAGGAAGCGCGGAGGACACTGGTAATCTGAGACCCATGACAAGAAATGATTAGGACAGTGCGGACAGGGAGAAGGGGCCAAGTTCAAGAGAGATTTAGATGTGAAACTACCTGTGAAGAGAGAAGAGACTGAGTTTTATGATGGCTTTCAAGCCTTTTTCCCTGAGATCATTTCATGGGTCTACCGTTACCATGACCAAGAATAGAGTAGGAGCTGGTTTATGGGGAAAGGTGATAAGCTCTGTTTTGGACCTTTTGATGTGTGCACATGACACATTCAAACTCAGTACCAAGAGGGAAACCGGAATATGTGGGTCTAGAGTTCACAGACACTTGCTTAAAATCTACCTCACTCCTAATTTCAAAATTACAGAAATTATAATAATACTTGAGTATCTTTAGTAAAAGGTACTGAATCAACAGCTAAAAAACAATTGTTGACACTGAGACCTCCAGCAGATGTTCACTCTAATATTACTTCAATTTGTAATCTCCTTTTATGCCTCCAGAAATCCTAGAACACTTTGCCCTTGTGGTAACACACCCAAATGAAATATCCTTTCTAAATCACCCTAGATTTCCTCAACCTGATTTAATTTTTTAGTATAATTCTGCTTCCAATGATTAGTTTGAACATGTTTTATATTTGGTGTTAAATATAAAATCTTATCACATTTATTTGTGCCATAAGCCATTCAAATCATTTCTGGAAACATACATAATATAGATATGTAATATTTCAAATAAACATACTAGAAGTATGTAATACAATCTACATATGTTTGGTTGAATCACTTGATTTCCAAGTTTCTACAACAGTGAAATAGAGAATAATCTTAAAAGGAGATCTGATGTTGTCCGAAAAGTTTAGAAGAAAAGAAGAAAGCTGAGACTTAACAATTAGATACTGATGGTGAAGCAGGAAGGAGCCAGAAAAACCACGCTACAACTAAAAAGAACAAAGCCCTGATTTTATTGCCAAGCAAAAATTTTAAAAAAGCCAGCAACATACCTGAATGCCTTTTTCACCTTGATTTCCTTTGTCGCCCTGCAAAAAGGCAGTTTAATGTCTGTCATAATCTAGGATATTCTGTATCCTTTCAAGTAAACATATTTTTCTTCAGGAAAAAAATATATATGGTCTCCTACAAATTCCACAAGTGCCTTATATGCAGAAGCAGACTCCAAAAGGAGAAAAATCATATTATGTCAAAATGTTCTAAGTGAATACATTCTTGTGCTCTTACATTTCAAAGGAAAAATTATTATAATTTCTAGTTTACCAGAAATAAGAAAACTTGTCTATATAGATCACAATCTGAGGTTTAGCAAAAGAACATGAGAAAACTCATTTCGGCAATTGTTTTACAAAATCAATCTGAAAAATCTTCCATTGAGCTAGTAGTAGCCACAAATTTATAGGAAACAATGAAGCAGAATATAATATTGAAATGGTATTTTTGAAAACATACACTTCAAAAATGAATTTTGGGGGTAAAATCCATATTCCATAATATAAATATTCCTGGCACTTTTCAGCTAGAGTAAACCTTCCAGACCAACTAAGTTCAATGTCCTTGTTCTTAGATCATGAATCTGCAAATTAGGAAAGATAAGCACTTGCCCTCAGATGAACTTGGACACTGTTTCCAAATTTCTTTCCTCCCTCACCATGCTCTCTAAACATTAAGAGTTTTGTGTTACAGCCAACAAAATACAGGTGTTCTTTTAAAGGGCAAGTTTTGAACAAGAAATTTCTCAAAACCTCAACATATAGTCCCAGTAGGTTTATGTAATATTCACCAAGGTTCTGACACTTAATTGCTGCCCTGAGGGTCATCCCTGTCTCAGCAAGTGTTGCCTACTGCTCACTGGAACAAAATGGTCAATGATCATACTGGTTATAATAACCTAGGGGCCAAGTGCATGATACATGAGAAACAGAAAAATGAAATGGTAGCAAAACCAAAACAGCAAGAGATATAAAGGTGAAGATGTAAGAGTTTGTATCTTTTCCAGAATCAAAGTCAACATATTTACTTTTAGACTGAAATGTATATATTTGCAGTGGCATGAACTTCTTTGGCAAACGGGCTGTCAGTTGTTGCTTAAAACCACCAAACAAATACTATTTATGTAGATACAGCTTCACGGTTCCTTTTTGAGGAGAGAGAGAGAATATGAATCTAAAATGTTGCTCTCTTACCTCACCAAAACATTTTATATCAGAATACATGATTTGTATTTTAAACTCCTTAATTTCAAATGAAATTCTATGCAATATAATCTTTCATAAATAGGAACTGCATGGTGAAGTGTTCTGGGTGTAGTTTTTACTATTTTAGACCTTTGTCCCAGTTTTGATAAGAGTAATATTCACATTTTAGTAAGAGTGCCAGACATTGAATACTTTTCCTAAAATAGTCTTGACTCACTTGGACCAACTGCAAAACAATCTGAATTTACAGGCTTTGCTTAATAGAATGTTTATATTTTCTGAGCTGCATGCCTCATCCAAGGCCTTCATCTAGGAGACAATACCCATGCAGGAATGTGAAAGATGAGACACAGCTATGGGCATGCGGTTGATCATATTACACATATACCAAATATAAAGGTCCTTAAAAGTACAGTCAGTCCAAATTGTGCTACTTTCACAAAAGGAAGACTTACGTGCTAATAGCTGATGAAAAGTTAATTTTATCCTGGGGCACCTAGGTGGCTCAGTCGGTTAAGCGACCCACTCTTTGTTTCCTCTAGGGCCATGATCTTGAAATTTCATGGGTTCAAGCCCCTTATCAGGCTCTATGCTGGCAACACGAAGCCTGCTTGGGATTCTCTCCCTCTCTCTCTCTCCCCCTACCCGACTTGTGCTCTCTCTATATAAATAAATAAATAAACTTAAAAAAAAAGAAAAAAGTTAATTATATCACCTAAACAATGCATACCTTTTTTCCTTGAACTCCCGGCAAACCCAGGTATCCCGGTTCTCCTGGGGGACCTACTGCTCCTTGTTCTCCCTAAGTAACATAGAAATTACATAAAGATTGCAGACCTATTGCTTATGAAAGACACCACTGTTTTTATCTCTACACAAATCCCAAATGTATAACTGATGGTTACAAAGTTTGTTGACCTTTAGTTATTATTGCAGAAATAGTAAAGAATGAAAAGTTTATGGGAGTCCCAACAAAACTTCTTGTACCTTTTCCTATCTTTGTAAGTTAAAATAATTCTGATAGCATAGATTTTAAAATTTTATACATATTTTTCATCTTTATTTTATAGCTTCAACAATAAATAGTAAAGCAGTGATAATAAACACAGGTATCTCGTTTTGTTTGCTAACACTTTCTCTTCCTCCTTGAGACTGCTTATTCTCATACTGCTACTTTAAAGAACCTATTTTATTGTTAAAAAACTGGTGAGGAAACAGTACTAAAATTGCTGAAAATCTCATTATTCACTGTTTTTATTTTGTTACATATTTTCTCACACACAATACACAATTTAGTTACTAAGGTTTTCTCACTACATAAGGCCTAATTTATGTCTTTCACCAAGACATACGAATATTGTGATGTTCTTTATATGCCATTATGTTTTTAAAACATAATTTTAAATTACAGAATAGTACTTAACTGTAGTGATTTATCATCTTTAATAAAACACCTATTGTTACAATTAGTTTTCACAATGTTTATTTTTATAAACAATATGGGGGTGAATGTCTTTGTAGTTAAATCATAGGCACACTTATGTTGGTTCTTCATACACAGGGAAAAGTATTTTCTTAGAAGTAAATTCTTGAGTTGTTTTCAGTACAGGGAATATTCCACGACTTATCCCAATTTTTCTACTCTGCATCATCCCACAGGGATTATTTCCTTCATGGAATAAAGATTCCTTAAAAGTCTTAAGAACATTTTCTGAAAGTATATAGTGACGAATTATCAATGACATTTAGGTAATGTGTGTAAGACAGGGGACGCAAACCTGAATTTGCCTCATGGTTTTTGGTTTGAGTTTTACCATTAGTCCCAAACTCTACCACATTAACTAAAGCCTACTCTCTTTTGTGGAAACAGTTTTGCCCTCTTTACTTACTAGGCCCACTCCTGAGCTATTGATTACTACTCTAGATTGCTAAAGGCTTGAAAAGAATTAAAAATCCTATTGAAATAAACATCAATTATTTGGTTTGGAGGAAACTGGTGTAAGCAGCTCTGAGTCCCCACACTGAAGTCCCATCAAGCAGTAAACAAAGGAATAGCATCACTTGTGAGAGTCATACACACTTCCTTTCAGTTACAGAAGACAGGGATATTCTCTGAACCAAAGAGTAGGTTCATATAAGCTTAGGGCTTTTAGCATTTCTAGGAAAATCAAGCCAAAATATATTTTGTCTTTTTTACCTAAACTGTGAGAAAGTGTCCCCAAAACAAATGAAACCCCCCATTGGCCATTTTCTTTCCTGAATGAGAACTCTGTGATAGAGGTAATCCTTAATTTCATGTAACTTTTCTTGAGGGATACACGTGGTAATCTCATCAAAAAATAAAGGGGACTTATAATAGTTTGAACGTATTTCCAAAAGTATCAAATGATAATTACCTTTAGCCCAGAAGCCCCAGGCATCCCTTGAAGTCCAGGTTCACCTTTATTTCCCTGTCAATGCATCAAACCATTTGAGTTAAAAAAAAAGTCATAATATATCTGATATAGACACTTAAGGGAACATCTTTTAAATAATTTTTATATTTCCAACTTTCCACCTGTTTGAAACACAGACTCTGTAGGTTAAGCCTACTTATTAAGAAAAAACTCTTGTAAACAAGGAATGGGTCTGCACATTTATAAAGCTTTCCAAAACTGTGTTTTAAATCTAGAAGCTCCAAGT